GACCCCAGGTAGCCTGGAGAAACGAGTCTACCTCATGAGAATTATTCTGCTTACCTGACCACAAATTAAGAGGTCAGTGGGAGAAATATATGCAACAAACGTCAGTGAATGATTAAATAATACAGGCAGAGAATGAGCATCTTGTCAATGTTTCTGGAGATTGGATGTTAACAGTTTGTGACGTTATGTGACGCTAGCGGTTATAGTAAAACCACTTGAGTTGCTGCAGTTGTCAGATGGAGACGTGCTTTCCAGTGTCCCAGGAATATTGAGGAATATGGCCCTGGATGAAGTGTTTGAGTGCTGGCTACTGTGCATACTGTTGAGGAAGCTGCCATGGGCGTGACACATGTAGCCTCTCGGTATTTATGAACATTTGGAGACGACCTCAAGCCTAGTGGTGGTCGTACCTGTGTGGAGCCCCAAATCGTTGCATCCTTAGGTGGAGGATAAGCAGGTATCTTTGTCTGGAGCTTGCCAGGCAACTGTGTAAACTCAAGTCAGGAGCAGAAGAGCTGTGTGAGCTCATTGTGTGGGGCAGTCTTAAGGAGACTTTGTTGAACGTCTTAGAGGATGCCATCTTGAATTACCTGTGTTGAGCGCCCCCAAGCAACAGGTTCTGTGGTAAGCTCATTTATCCGTTGATATAGAGGTTGCCGGTGCCTGATCGTGTGGCCAGGGATCATGGCAAGTGTATATGCATGTAGGATATATATTTTGATTAAGACAGTGAGTTAAAATAAGCAGTTAAAAATAAGAGAACATGCTGGGGGGAGGAGTGATACACCCTCTCTCGAGGGAGGTGAGTGGACGACTGAGGGGCGGAGGCCGCCAGTGTCACAACTGGGGGGATGCCCCTGCATCTCATCCAGACATGTTTCCAGTATGGACCCGCCCAGGATGGGGAAGTACCTACCACAGTTGGACCGGCGTTGGAGGGCAAGATTTAGGGCTGGCACATTAGTTTATTCAATATGTTCGGTTAGGAAAATATTTTATTGTTGTGGTAATGGAATTGCAGGTTTGTTTGGGAATAAGTTAATGGAGGAACTTCGAGATTGTAGAAGAAGAAGTGTATGCTAATCTCTGAGGTTGAGCAGAACTTCATGGTGTGGAGTTGAACTTCAAGCTGTGTAGGGGAGCTACATGTCTCTTTGTGGAGCCCGTGGAGGAGCTTCACTGATGTTGGAGTTGGACTTCGTGTGCAGCAGATTGGGAAAACTGCAGAAGTACCTTACCTGATTTTTGGAGGACCCAGATATATGTTAGTAGTAGTGAGCCTCAAGGAAGAGAACAGACGATCATGCAGACACATTAATGTAGGGCGAGAGTGCTTGACTGCTTATTGGCATGTAAGACGCAGTGAAAGTTGAGAGATTAATTTATTTTTTGTTGGGGATATTTATGTAGATGTTCCAGGTATTTCGGCCCCAAGCAGAGATTCATATACTTTTATGGTTGAAGATATATTATTGTTGTGCCATGTATTTCAGCCCCAAGCAGTGAGGGGGAGACGGTGAGTTGTGTGCCAAGAGTCGTGCAGCAGCTTCATATAGATAGTTGCTGAAGTCAGGATATATTAGAGTGCTACCGGTTTGTAGCAACTTTGAGTGTTGTACGGTAATATTGCATTATATATCTTTTGTTGTGTATGTTTTAATGTATTAAACGTTTATTAACAGCGGGTCTTTGCTCTTGTGCTGGTGAGGTTTTTCGGAAAGTGAGGGAGAGTGAGAGGGTCACGGCTGTGCATAGGGTGACAGTGGACAATAATTAACTAAAGGTGGATTAAGGAGATCATCCCAAACAAGGAGATAGCGGGGAGTCACGGCATCTCGAGTAGGGTGTATACTCAAGACAACCAACCCAGTTTTGGAGCCGCACCTCAAAATAAAGATGACACTGAGCCCCCTCTACAAGATCAAGACGTGTTCAGGGTGATCTCCCAGTAAATTGCAAGCACTTAAGTGTCCATTGCTGGTCGACCGACGGTAGCGGGAGTGTTGTTGCCGAGGTCAGCTGTATCAGGGAGTGGTTAGGGTCTCTGTTCGCCTGTCCGCAAGTAACAGTCTGGTGCAACAACCACCTCCTTTCGGGTTATGTCCCCAACCCTCCCGATAGTTGGAACAGATATTAATATATGTATTATAACCAGTGACATATTTGTATAACCTTAGTGGATATGTCAGACACTAAAGCTGTATATAAACAGGAATTGCATTATGTGGGCCACTAGGCCTTTTGCAGTTACATATTCATATGTTGTTATAATATTCCAAAAATTGTCAATTCTTGATGTTTATAGTTACTTATATGCTGAACCCAATTCTGGCTATTTCTGTTGTTAATTAAATTCTCATATGATGTGTCACGTTTACCTTAAGCAAACCAGAAAACTCCATATATCGTAAGTCACACAGTAAAGGTAATACTAAAAAGGCATGCAATCAGTATTTGTTTATTATGCAATATACATGACCGTTAGCAAGCTTAAATTAAATAAAATGTCTTGATAAATAAAATAAAAAATACCTCATATTTATATATATAACAACTAATATTTTAATTAACATTCTCAATGGCAATATATTCTCAACTTATCCTGTTCAATGTTATCGGCTATAAAACGCAGTAACATATATGAACATTCTTGCAGATTACTAAATGCAAAACATATTGTTATTAAATTAAAATTATTGAAATGCCTTACAAATGTCAGGTATCATAAGAAGGAGAAAACAGGCAGCATTTTCATTCTGGTGATTGGCTCTTAAAATATATTTAAAACGATTTAAAGAAAATTATGGAACTTAACATTTATAGAGAGACAATATCGATGGCATGAACGCTTATCATAAAGGTCTAACTGCAGCATGGTTGGTGTGTCACCTTGTCTGACGAGCACCAGCTGCAGCATGGTTGGTGTGTCACCTTGTCTGACGAGCACCAGCTGCAGCATGGTTGGTGTGTCACCTTGTCTGACGAGCACCAGCTGCAGCATGGTTGGTGTGTCACCTTGTCTGACGAGCACCAGCTGCAGCATGGTTGGTGTGTCACCTTGTCTGACGAGCACCAGCTGCAGCATGGTTGGTGTGTCACCTTGTCTGACGAGCACCAGCTGCAGCATGGTTGGTGTGTCACCTTGTCTGACGAGCACCAGCTGCAGCATGGTTGGTGTGTCACCTTGTCTGACGAGCACCAGCTGCAGCATGGTTGGTGTGTCACCTTGTCTGACGAGCACCACCTGCAGCATGGTTGGTGTGTCACCTTGTCTGACGAGCACCACCTGCAGCATGGTTGGTGTGTCACCTTGTCTGACGAGCACCACCTGCAGCATGGTTGGTGTGTCACCTTGTCTGACGAGCACCACCTGCAGCAACCAGTAACACGACAGTGTCACCACAAGTCACCAGTAACACGACAGTGTCACCACAGGTCACCAGTAACACGACAGTGTCACCACAAGTCACCAGTAACACGACAGTGTCACCACAAGTCACCAGTAACAGGACAGTGTCACCACAAGTCACCAGTAACACGACAGTGTCACCACAAGTCACCAGTAACACGACAGTGTCACCACAAGTCACCAGTAACACGACAGTGTCACCACAAGTCACCAGTAACACGACAGTGTCACCACAAGTCACCAGTAACACGACAGTGTCACCACAGGTCACCAGTAACACGACAGTGTCACCACAAGTCACCAGTAACAGGACAGTGTCACCACAAGTCACCAGTAACACGACAGTGTCACCACAAGTCACCAGTAACAGAACAGCCTCACCACAAGTCACCAGTAACAGAACAGTGTTACCACAAGTCACCAGTAACACGACAGTGTCACCACGAGTCACCAGTAACACGACAGTGTCACCACGAGTTACCAGTAACACGACAGTGTCACCACGAGTCACCAGTAACACGACAGTGTCACCACAAGTCACCAGTAACACGACAGTGTCACCACGAGTCACCAGTAACACGACAGTGTCACCACAAGTCACCAGTAACAGGACAGTGTTACCACAAGTCACCAGTAACACGACAGTGTCACCACAAGTCACCAGTAACACGACAGTGTCACCACAGGTCACCAGTAACAGGACAGCCTCACCACAAGTCACCAGTAACACGACAGTGTCACCACAAGTCACCAGTAACACGACAGTGTCACCACAAGTCACCAGTAACACGACAGTGTCATCACAGGTCACCAGTAACACGACAGTGTCACCACAAGTCACCAGTAACACGACAGTGTCACCACAGGTCACCAGTAACACGACAGTGTCACCACAGGTCACCAGTAACACGACAGTGTCACCACAAGTCACCAGTAACACGACAGTGTCACCACAGGTCACCAGTAACACGACAGTGTCACCACAAGTCACCAGTAACACGACAGTGTCACCACAAGTCACCAGTAACAGAACAGCCTCGCCACAAGTCACCAGTAACAGGACAGTGTCACCACAAGTCACCAGTAACACAACAGTGTCACCACAGGTCACCAGAAACACAACAGTGTCACCACAGGTCACCAGTAACACAACAGTGTCACCACAAGTCACCAGTAACACAACAGTGTCACCACAGGTCACAAGTAACACAACAGTGTCACCACAGGTCACAAGTAACACAACAGTGTCACCACAGGTCACCAGTAGTTGAATGTCAGACAATATTCCCCATTTAAATTAATTCATTAGCAAACTTGACTCTCAAAATATCTACGAAAAACATGTTATTAAAAATATTATCTCTGCCTTTGAGAATTAAACATTAAAAAAATTCAATAATGCAATAAGACATTACCAAATAATTCGCTTTGAATTATTAGCAGTTCAATCAAATCCTGTGAATATGGAATGTTACCATTTTATTTACAGACAAATATAAGTACTCTATATAATTAGTTTTGGTTTTTAATATACAATAATGTTGTTGGAGGAGTAGTAGGGCCATACTGCTTGCACGTACTCCTTATATGTGTAGTTTGTGGGTCAGTAGTGAAGGGCAAAACCTATGTGGTTAAAGGGATCAGGAGACTTGCCTCGACCCTTGCCTGCAGGGATGCTCTGCCGTCGTCTGCCCCGTGTGTTGACTGGCGCCGCTGCAACATACAATGATACTACATAAACACAATGTTATCCGTGTGTGTGTTGACTGGCGCCGCTGCAACATACAATGATACTACATAAACACAATGTTATCCGTGTGTGTGTTGCCTCGCGTCGCTGCAACATACAATGACACTACGTAAACACAATGTTATCCGTATGTGTGTTGCATGGTTCCGCTGCAACATACAATGATACTACGTTGCAACCCGTTCTCACACAAGACAGCACATATATGACTTAATGCTTAAAGTCATTTTTTTTTTGTTTTTTGTTTTTTGAGATATATACAAGAGTTGTTACATTCTTGTACAGCCACTAGTACGCGTAGCGTTTCGGGCAGGTCCCTGGAATACGATCCCCCGCCGCGAAGAAACGTTTTTTCATCCAAGTACACATTTTACTGTTGCGTTAAACAGAGGCTACAGTTAAGGAATTGCGCCCAGTAAATCCTCCCCGGCCAGGATACGAACCCATGACATAGCGCTCGCGGAACGCCAGGCGAGTGTCTTACCACTAAGCCACGGAGACTAAATTTGTTGAATATGAATTAGTAAATATGTAATATATTCCCAGTTACTTTTTTTTCCAAGGCCCAAACTCTTCCTCACGTACCAATTTACGTCTCACAGTACCCGTCCGTCAACCTAGATAGCAGAATAGTCGTGATTGGTTCAATTATAAGGAAAATTGTAGTTTTCAGGTCCCACATGGGTTGTGAAATTTACCTACTATTGTCCATGCTCTTAAAATATTACAGATCAGCTACTTCCTATTGAAGGCTCGTAGTTTTGTTTTGAGAAATATTAGTTGTTCTTAGTAAATTATAATAAGCACTAAAAATTATTACATAGAATAACAGTCCTTCACCAATCAATATTATATACCATAGTTTGTGCTTTACAAATCTTTAAAGGATGTTTTGAAGGAACGCTAACAGAAAACGATGTTACGTTGGAATGTCTATGGGGTAAACTACTGCAAACAGGATGGTATTGTGTCTACTATACCAACTACAGGATGGATATATTGTCCACTACCACCTGTTAGGTGGGTAAGGGGTCCAATACCACCCACAGGATGGGTATGAGGGTCACATCCACCCACAGGATGAGTATGGGGATCACATCCACCCACAGGAAGGGTATGGGGTCCAATATTTACAGTCTCCGTGGTGTAGTGGTAAGACACTCGCCTGGCGTTCCGCGAGCGCTACGTCATGGGTTCGTATCCTGGCCGGGGAGGATTTACTGGGCGCAATTCCTTAACTGTAGCCTCTGTTTAACGCAACAGTAAAATGTGTACTTGGATGAAAAAACGTTTTTTCGCGGCGGGGGATCATATTCCAGGGACCTGCCCGAAACGCTACGCGTACTAGTGGCTGTACAAGAATGTAACAACTCTTGTATATATCTCAAAAAAAAAAAAAAAAAAAAAAAATACCACCCACAGGATGAGGATGGCGTCCACTACAACCCACGGGATGGGTATGGGGCTCCAACCACCCACGGGATGGGTATGGGGCTCCAACCACCCATAGAATGGATATGGGGCTCCAACCACCCATAGAATGGGTATGGGGTCCAATAACACCCACTGGATGTGTATGGCGTCCATTGCCGCGCGTCGAGCTGGAAAACCGCAGCATTCATCTCAGAACCATGCCTATTTCACGCAGATTCCTTAATAAACGTAAGAGTTTTATATGTCACAAGAAAGTTAGAAATATAAGCTTCATTCTAAATACCTTACCATGGGCATATTTAAATTTAAAGCGAAGATACGTGTACTTTTATAATAGCCGAGCTCCGACCCCGGACAGATCGATCGACCGAGCAACTCGCTCTCAGAACAATGTTTATTTCACGTGAATTCATTAATAAACATATATGTTTTATATGTCTCAAGAAAGGCAGACATATAAGCTTCACTTTAAACACTTTACCATAGACATATTTAAAGTTCTAATGAAGGTACATGTATTTTAAAAATTACGGAGCTCCCGCCCTGTACAGACTGAACGACAGAGCAACTCTCTCTCAGATCAATGTTTATTTCACGTAAATTCGTTAATAAACACAAATGTTTTATATGTCTTAAACAAGATAGAAATAAGAGCTTCATTTTAAATACATTACAGAAGACATATTTAAAGCTCAAGTGAAGATACATATGTTTTTATAGTAGCGCTCAGTAGCTTGTCGGGCATGGAGTGCAGACGCCTACGCACTTGCCGATACATTGTATAATTTTTTTTTTTTTTTTTTTTTTTGAGATATATACAAGAGTTGTTACATTCTTGTACAGCCACTAGTACGCGTAGCGTTTCGGGCAAGTCCCTGAAATACGATCCCCTGCTGCGAAGAATCGTTTTTTCATCCAAGTACACATTTTACTGTTGCGTTAAACAGAGGCTACAGTTAAGGAATTGCGCCCAGTAAATCCTCCCGGCCAGGATACGAACCCATAACATAGCGCTCGCGGAACGCCAGGCTAGTGTCTTACCACTAAACCACGTAGACTGAGGTGTCTCCACGGAGACTTTAAATTAACAAAGATACGCTAATAAAGCCTGAAATCTTATATGCCTCCAGAAAGACCGAGATATGAACATTATTATGATTGCACCAAATGAAATATATCATGTTCGAGAATAGAGATATATCAATTTTAAATTAAGTTTCGACTCTTGCTCGGGCGAGAGAGATGGGGCGACTCTCGCCCCATCTATTGGAGATTCTGTCCACTAAAGACCCAAAGCTACTCAAGCCCTCCTAGCATTATTTAAGTAATGAAGTAATATGGTATATTTACTCACTATAATGTGGGTGCTGAATGCAAAACATGAGAAAACATATATTTACTCCAAACTAATATAATTTCATTATGAAATAAGTAGCATCAAAGGAAGTCGACGGTCCAAGCGTCAATGTTGTGGAGCGACTTATCCAAGATATATCGTTGTTTGGAAAGTGTTTGTTGGCATATCCAGTTGTCGCACTTCTCTGCACAAATTATCACAAATTTAAATTATAATGTTAACAAGTACAATACCTATTTTTAATAAAATCTAACATAACTAGCCAGAAAACATTTAACATTTATTAAAAAATATATGTTTGGAAGTTAAATCGACTTCATAGGACAATAGTTTTGTTATATAACAAAATGTAACAGTAAAATGTGTACTTGGATGAAAAAACGATTCTTCGCGGCAGGGGATCGTATTCCAGGGACCTGCCCGAAACGATACGCGTACTAGTGACTGTACAAGAATTTAACAACTCTTGTATATATCTCAAAAAAAAAAAATACATATATACTCGTTATTCGTTGACATGCGTTCGCTACTTAAACTAATATGTACTGTACTTATGTAAAATCTCCCATGTCTCTTCACTCATCTTACCGAACCCTACAGGCTCTGTGATATATTGTTTAATTAATTGAGATTCACAAATAAAGCTTATAATTGTATATGTTATCAAAAAGGCAGAGCTTAGTTTAGTTCATTTATTATGCACCCCCATACCCATCCTATGGGCAATAGTGGAGTGTTACAGAGGCACATAATGGGCTCAGGGACTGAGCCCCACAATTCATATAGCCAAGCAAGTTATAATCTTGATAAGCTAGTTACAAAAGTCAATGCACATTGTCACATCAACAATGGGCTCGAGACCGACCACAAGTACAGTTTATAATTTAAGCAACTGACATATATGGAGAGTTAGTGTCACAATTGATATGTTTATCCTACACATAACCTCCTCTCCCCCATCCAATGGGCAGCGGTGGATAGGTTACAATCAAGTCGTTTTTTGCGTTTTATTCAGAGATTAGATCTTATTGGGTGAGGAAAGATATTTATATTTTAAAGAAGGCTTCTTGGCTGATGCTCTCCATTGATGGAAAATATACAACCTTTTGAAAATCAATGTTAGTTTGATCTAGATATTGTAATTAACAAAAGTATTTATGTCATCAGAAAGGTAGAAATATAGGCTACATTTAAAATCCTTTGTCATAAATATAACTGAAGTGAAAACAAAGATTTATGCGTTTTGATAGTTACTTGATGGCTAGCTCTGAGAGTGTGAAGCCCTGCACACCAGCCAATAAATTGTATAATTAGTTTCCATATATTTTAATTAATCTTAAAAATCTATATGTCAGAAGAAAGGAAGATGTAGCCGTTAATGTGACAACATTTAAAAATATATATCTCTTAAGTTAAATAAATAATACCACCTTATCGCCGGTGTCCGGACACATGAAAACTACCTCGGTATCAGTATCCAGCCAGGCGGGGATCACAGGCTGCACAATACTGATAAATTATGTAATGCACTACGTGTGGTCCATCTCGAACCCATTTATGATGTGACGACTTATAGTGAATTTTGTAACTAGCTCATCAAGATTGTATCTTGCTTAGCTAAATGAATTGTGGGGTTCAGTCCATTCATTTTCTTTCTTTATTATGCACCCCATAATACCCATCCCGTGGGCGGTGGTGTAAAGGATTACAGAGACACATAATCGGTTCAGGAACTGAACCCTCTAGTTCGTTTAGCTAAGCAAATAACAATCTTTTGACTCTAGTTACAAAATTATTAATGTACACATACTTATGTATACATGTACATATACATACGTATACATATATACATACACATACATATTTAATCACCCACACAAATACACACATCAGTAATCTTTTGTGTCACAAGTGATTCAACAAGAGGCTCACAACAGTCACTATAAAAGGCACTTTACATCTATGAGGAGTCGCACAGTTACTAGTCTTGCTCCACACCCACCCAACTGGGCGGCAGCTTTACAGTCATGTGCATGCATTACCTACAGTAAGCAAATTTTGGATACTTCGCTAAGATTTCGGGCAGCACATCATTATGAATGAAGTACTTATACACATTTCATGGACACTATTGATGTTGTTCTCTTTAAATTCCGCGATTTTTTCACATTC